GGACATTGGCAGCAGGAAGTCAAGCAGTATGCTCCATTCCTCAGTTGCATTGCATATGTCGGCCCTCCCGCGGAACGGACGAGACTTCAACCCCTGCTGGCCACTACAGATGTCATTGTAACTTCTTACGATGTTTGCCGCAATGACAATGATATTCTCTCCCCTATGAACTTCAACTACTGTGTGCTTGACGAGGGCCATCTTATTAAGAACCCCAAGGCCAAGATCACGTCTTCAGTCAAAAAGTTAGCCAGCAATCACCGTTTGATCTTGTCTGGTACCCCGATCCAAAACAACGTCCTCGAATTGTGGTCGCTGTTTGATTTCTTGATGCCCGGTTTCTTGGGAACCGAGAAGGTCTTCTTGGATCGGTTTGCCAAGCCCATTGCAGCGAGCCGTTTCAGCAAATCCTCTTCCAAGGAACAAGAGGCAGGTGCTTTAGCAATCGAGGCACTGCATAAACAGGTCCTGCCATTCCTACTCCGTCGTCTGAAAGAGGAAGTCTTGAATGACCTCCCTCCCAAGATTATCCAGAACTACTACTGTGATCCGAGTGAACTGCAGAAGAAACTCTTCGAGGACTTCTCTAAGAAGGAGCAGAAGGAGTTGGCAGATAAGGTGGGCAGCGCGGACCGTGGCGACAAAGAGCATATCTTCCAGGCGCTTCAATATATGCGACGTCTATGTAATTCTCCTGCCTTGGTTGTCAAGGAAGGCCACAAGCAGTACAACGAGGTGCAAAGCTTCCTGACGGCCAAGCGTTCGAACATCAGAGATATTTCCCACGCGCCCAAGCTAACTGCCCTGAAAGACTTGCTGGTGGATTGCGGCATTGGCCTTGACCACACAGCAGAGGGTGAACTGGATACAGGCGCAAGCTATGTCAGCCCCCACCGAGCTCTTGTGTTCTGTCAGATGAAGGAGATGTTGGACATTGTGCAGAACGATGTCCTTAAGAAACTCCTCCCATCCGTTCAATACCTTCGCTTGGATGGAAGTGTGGAAGCAACCAAGCGCCAGGATATCGTTAACCGGTTCAACACCGACCCCAGTTATGACGTCTTACTCCTGACCACTAGTGTTGGTGGTTTGGGTCTCAACCTTACGGGTGCAGATACCGTCATCTTCGTGGAGCACGACTGGAACCCACAGAAAGATATCCAAGCTATGGACCGTGCTCATCGTATCGGCCAAAAGAAGGTTGTCAACGTGTACCGCCTGATCACGCGTGGTACCCTAGAGGAGAAGATCCTGAAGTAAGTCACTACCATCCCACAAGAACCCCGCAGATGCACAGAGACTAACGTGATCCCGGCCACAGTCTACAACGATTCAAGATCGACGTCGCCTCTACCGTGGTCAATCAACAGAACGCTGGGCTCGGAACAATGGACACAGACCAACTACTTGACCTGTTCAATCTCGGCGAAACGGCAGACACAGCCGAGAAGCCAAGCGACCCAGCCGGCAACGAAGTCGATATGGTTGATATTGACGGCGAAGTCAAGGAGAAGGGCAAGAAGGGCTGGCTAGACGATCTGGGCGAACTCTGGGATGACCGCCAGTACCAGGAAGAATACAACCTAGATTCGTTCCTGGAAACCATGAAAAACTGATACAATACTGCGCCGCCCATCCCCGATTCGAAGCTTATCCCAGCCTCGACTCGATGCCTGCTTCACTTTGTTTGCATCTCAGATGCATATCTACCCATCTTCCGTTCCCCTGCGTCTGATTCACGTTTTCACATCTCTTCGACTCAACCCTCCTCCAACCCTCCCCCATATCCTCACAACCCCCAAATGATTGTCATGCTTAATGTCACTGTACCATTCTCCGTCCTATACCATGGAAACTTTTGTCTGCACGGCAGACCGGAGCATAATCGCTTATTCATTAGTTCTACCGCTGGGAAGGCCCTCTGATTTCTGCTCGTTCTTTCTATTCTTCTTCGAACCCTTCATGTATTGCTAACTTCTTTGATCTCTCCCCACAATGGATGGAGAGTCTAATTCCTGTATGTGTACATAGCAAGTCCTTTATTCTTCCACAACATTGAGATATCTTTTTTTGAAAAGTCAAAAACGTCGTAAACTAGCGGATTGTTCACTTGTCATTGGGCATAGATAGGATGCACACAACTGACGATACTTGACTGCCCATGGTCTTTGATTTGAAATCTTCATTGAAAAATACATACACAAAACCAAAAACACCATAGCACCTTTCTAATAGCAATGGCAATAGCCCGAAAGCATAGCCGCGAACGCCGTATTTCCCACAAAATGTTGACCGGAGGCAGAGGTAGAAAATATGAGAAAAAACTAACACCAGACACGAAAAGAAGATATTCCGCGAGGTGGGGAGGCTCCGAAGACCCTCAAAAATGATAGTGTAGATACAAATCAAGAATGGAAATGTTGGTACGTTGACACCGCAGAAGAACATTACTGCAGCGTGGGCTGGACTGCAAGGGTCCAGAAGGTGGAAAACAAGATATCAACAAAAACAAAAAAATAAAAAAACCAGGTATTAGGTTGATCATAAGGCTGAAAAAACAATTCATCAGACGCGGCCTAAACCGCCAGGTATGTGCTCGTCAGCTCATTGCATGTTTAGGCCTGTCCCTTCGGCTTCGAAAGCATGTTGAGGCGGCTCATGCTGAGAACGCCGCGACTCTTCTTGCTAGCGGGAGTACCGATTTGGCCAGAAGGACGCACAGGAGTCTTCGTAAGGCGTTTCTTCACCGGGCTTGGAGTAGGCGGGTTAGACTTGAACCTCTTGGTGCTGCGCTCATCAGACTGCATATCGGCAGGCGGCACATTTTCACGATCTGCAGTGTTGGGAGCATCCTCATCGTTGACTTCACTGCGGTGTCTCTTCTTATTAAGAATGCCGTGAGCAATGCCATGAGTCAGCACCGGAAGCTCTTGATATGGAGCGGGTTGTTCACCGGCATTCGATTTGCGAACACGACGAATGGACTTGAATTCGGAAGTAGGAGTAGTGGAAGTTGAGACAGCCGAGTTCTTCTCGGGAGTGAGAGCCGGGAGAGTGGGGTAGACCACAACCCCGGGCATGGACCGAAGCTGAGCTGAAGAGACCTTGGAAGGAGAGGGTGAGGCGATAGCAAGTTCGTGACGAGACTTAACACTTGGAGTGAATTCAACGTGCTTCTTTGGCGAAGGGGTTGGCGCGGAGTCGCTCACATCACCAGCTCCTCCAAAGAGCGACTTGGGGTTGAAGTCGGGCGCTGCAATGTGGGTGCCAGAAGCAATTTTGGCAGGGTCGCGGGAGAAGAGGGGTTGGCGCCGACGAAGAATAGATCTAAGGCTACCAAGAGTGGGCAATTTGCTTTTGAGGCGTGGGTTGAAATCAGTGCGAGGAGTTCGAGGTGAGGCCATTGTTTTGGCGGCCGGAGACAAATTCAAAGATGGAATCATTGAGGTTCTCGGCGCCTTGATGCTGGTAGAGGTCGTACGAGCAAGCGAAGCATGTGTGGGAGTCATGATGGAACTGCGAACGTTTGTGCGAGGGCGAGGGCGAGGACCTGCAGGTCGACGGGGGGTTTCGACCTTCTGGGTTTGATCCTTTGATTCATGACTAGTGGATTTATCTTCGATTTGGTTGTGCTTGACACGCTTAGATGCTGTAGCAGCCGTGGGAGTGGACAATTTTGAGATCTTAGTGGCAGGGCGAGAAGGGGACGAGTTCTGGCTCTCTGGTTCGTCAAGCTGCGCTTTGGACTTGGACCGCTTCAGGGACTTGGTAACAGGCTGGAAGCGACCAGGGGTAGCACGGAAAGATGAAGCATGTCCGGCAATGGAGTCCATCTTTCTGAATTCCGCCATGTGGATGTCGCTGAAACGGTTGGCCCTGCCCTTTGGCATGGCAATCTTCCGGTCCCCATGAATTTTCTCGGCCTTGTGATCTTCACAGTCTTGCTCTGAGTTGCTCTGAACCATTTGCGCCTTGATTCGAGCCGCATCAGCCCGAAGGCTTTCCATCAGCAGTTTGGCCTCTTCGCTGAGTTCCGTCTCCTGGGACTGAAACTTGTACTCGAACCCTGGGGTTCCGAACTGGTCGGTCGCGGGAGACGCCTTGGATTTGGTCGGGGTGTTGTCGCTGATACCGTGCTTGACTATATTGCCATTGGCATCTTTCTTGATGGGATTGAATCCGAGGAGTAGGCCTGAGTCTGCATGTTTGGTTGTGCTCTGTTGGGCTTTGCTGGGATGCATTTCTTCGCGGGACGGACGAGCCGCAGTCACACTAGTAGGGGTCCTCATACTAGCGCGCTTCCGTTGAGCGGACGCCCGAGGAGTTTTCGCAATGGGAGTTTGGATGCGTGGGAGTTCGGGGGTGTCAATCTCTTCGCCTTCGGCAACAGAGTGAAGTCTGGAAGCTGCGACTGGCTGAGTGGTCATTTCTTCAACCTGAAAGAAAAAAAAACAATTGAAGTTAGTTTACCGCGATTTCGACGATCATCAGGACCTCAATCTGTCCCACAGCAGGCGTCACTATGCTACTCACCTCCGGGGTGTTCTGGCGACGAATGCGAGCGGAACGGCGGATCGCCATGACTGAAGACGTGAAGCAAGGAATCAACAAATATCAATAGAATGCAATAGCCCTAAGAAGCAGTGCAGGGGGTAAATTGGTCGAGACAGGGTGTGGGGGAAGTATCAAAGTCGAAGCGAGGCCAAAATGTAAACAACGCGCTTGACGTCAGATGACTCAGCATCTTCCTGAGCAACCTTTGAACTACGGAGTACAAACTATCGCTAACTACACATTCTAGCTCGCATGTTATTCTCCTTAAGAAGTCTTTCATATTGATTTAGTTACCCTTTATCTTAATCCTCCTAGATGAATACTAATACAGTTTCATCTTGGTCCAATAGTAAAAATACATAGCAAATCCTTCCAAAAATCGGAGAAGATGCCAGTGACCACCAAAAGCTGGATAAACTTCTTGTCACAATATAGAAAAAACAAAGTTAAGCATGGTATCCATGCAAGTGCTCATGCAAGTGCTGGCGCCAGTGCTCATGAATGTGTCTCTCGATATCTTGAGTAGCGGTGGTCTCCTGCGTAGCAGCCTCTTGAGTAGTAGTGACGTATTGCGTAGTGGTGGTCTCTTGCGTAGCGACGGCCTCTTGAGTAGTGGTGGTGTATTGTGTAGCGACAGCCTCTTGAGGAGCAGTGGTCTCTTGAGTAGAGGCGGCCTCTTGAGTAGCAGTGGTCTCTTGCGTAGCGACAGCCTCTTGAGGAGCAGTGGTCTCTTGAGTAGCGGTTGCCTCCTGGGTAGAAGTGGTCTCTTGAGTAGCAGCGGCGTTTTGGGTAGCGGCCTCAGCACCCTGGCCCCATCCAGTAGGCGGGTTATTGCCGGGCAATTTCTCAAGAACACCAGCGATCTGCTCGGGGACTAGGTTGGGAATGTTGCATGTAGTTGAGGCGTCATTGATGAAACCAGCATCAGCACACTTGTCCATTCCAGAATCCCCAGCATCACAGTTATCAATAATCTTCTGCAAGACCGATTCATCCCAGCCAGCGATCTATATTCGTATTAGCCAGTGGTCCCCGACATATCATCCGGTAAGCACATAAACGTGCAAATAGATATACTCACAAAGTCACCATGAAGCGAATACCCCGTCCGATCACCGTTACTGAGAATGAAAGGCTGCGAGCCAGTACCCTGGGTCCACATATCGGCAAACAGCGGTGTGTTCCAATACACCTCGTAGAAGATATGGGGAACGTGGATCCAACCAGGTGGACAGTTCGCCTTGCCACCAGTGGTACCCTTGCTACTAGGGAAGACCATGTTTGTCTTGTAGTCATCAAGCCCAGCCTCAGGATTGTAGCACGAGGGGAAATGAATATCGGCACGCAGGGGCGACGCATAGCCATCACAGTTCATATCCGGGAAGCCAGCGCCAGCACCAGCATTGTTTGGATCTTGAATACCGACACCGTGGAGTCCATCCGAATCCGGTGGGTAGGAAGGCACATCATAAGAAGAGCGGGGGCATGTGAACTGGACAGGTTGGATAGTTCCCTGGTTCGTGTCGAGGACATTGGCGGCACCGCCTGGGGGTGGTGTACGTAGGGAGCTGTTACCGATGAACATGCGCAGACCGACAGGGAAAGCTTTGATCTCGTCGTCGGTTGGCTCGAAGAAGTAGTAGACATTCATGTAGAACATTGGGACCGAGAGGAAGCTACCATTATCGGCTTGGAAGTATAGCGATGGAGTCCAGTAGTTGCTCTTGTCGGCATCGACGAGGGATGAGGTGCAGTTGGAGTCCAGCAGGGCATCGTCTGTCATGGTGAGGTTGAAATTGCTTCCTCCCTGGATGGCGTGCGAGTGTGAAGCCGCCTCTCCGGGGTTCATGATCGGATCCATACGGCCCATTGTCAGGGGACCATTGCCGTAGAAATGGTTCACGGCAAAGGTACGCGAGTCTTTTGCGAGTGCCAACTCGAAGAAGACCGCGGAGGTCACGAGGGTGCACAAGGCCTTGACGTGCATTTTGAAAGTATATCGAAAGAATCGGTTGGAAATAGCAATATGCAGCAACGAGAAAGATGCCTCAGAATTAAGTAGAAATGAACGGCGGCTGCTCAAGTACCGGACTCGAGGGTAAAAGAATGGAATGATGTTTCGAACTCAACAAAAAGAGGAAGGGCCATTGTTATATACCAGGGAGAATCGGTCTCATAGAATATTCTCGTCAACTCGTTCTCGTAAGTCGTTCTCGTACAATCGTTTTCGTTCTCGGTGGGGAGTTTCTTTCTTCGATAGTTAATGGATAATCAGGGTCCAGGCCAAGGACTCCACATGGTGTCAATAGGTGATTAGACGCCTTGTTAAGTGTGTATAAGGTAGTGGGTGTAATAAGATGAGGAGGGTGTTTCAGGGTAGAGTAATTTGAAACGTGGGGCTACGCCTTAGGGCACTTACATTTACCTAAAGGGGATTGACGGAGAGGATGATAAATCAAATCCCAGACTCCTGGGAATCGTCGATTTCCACATGGACTTTTCACATGCATAACTTTGTAACACATCATATGATTAAAATGGTTGCTAAATACGGTGCTTTTGAGGCTATTCCCGGAAAGTGTACCTGTCATCCCTTACTTTCCATATACTTCGTTTAGTAAATCATACAGACAGTAGGAGTAGTATGGAGTGATACATAGTATGTAGAATTCATTGATACTAATCCCCCGTGAGCATTATATACACTCATGTTACAGTTTCACCACTTTGCTCTTATCAATTCTTTCCCCCTTATTGAAAACACGCTAGTCTTTATCCGCGTTAACTCGCCGGAGATTAAGAGGATGTTTAGGAAGAAGACTAGGCATTAAGGTAGTCCACTAGTTATGTTAGTATGGAGACCCTGAATCCCTATCCGGTGCAATGCTATCCGGTGAAATCCGGTGCCCTTGGTGGGCTTGCTAGTTTGCCACGATATTAGTATCTTTGCTAGCTCTCCTTTCTCAAGGAATCCACATATTGTTTCTTACAGATGCCCATGATGTAGCATTCCTAGGGATACGCCCAAGACACATGTTCAGGAGTAACCTTTCCATTAAATACTATTCAAGAAACAAAACTATAGATCTAATTCTTGTTGCAGGAATAAATACAACGTAGGAAATAAAAGTCTGGTAGCGAGCAACTCTGTAGGCCAATGCCAAGACCTTCAGCCTCGACTCCCGACGTCTCTTCAATTCGACTCCTGACTACTCGCCGCTCAGGGTTCCATCATGAGATAATAATGAGCCCCGATGGAAGAAAGAGAAACAATGTGGCACTCGACTCTCACCCTAGAGTAAAACGGGGGAGAAAAACAACGTCCTGTTCCCAATGTCACGCCAGGAAGCAAAAATGTAACAGAGAACTGCCTTGCTCTCGTTGTATTCAACGCGGGGTTCCTCAACTATGTCAATGGCCAGAGAAGGAAAAGGGCCATGCGATGCCACCAGAAAGAGTGAGCACTGCAGGTACCGGATAACCCCGCCTCCAAAACGTAGATCATGGCTAACAGTGAACCCATATAACAGATACCCAGGGCACAGAACTGGGGCAGTTGTATATTGCCCGGGGGGCACCAAGCTTCTTCGGTAATTCATATTTTGGCCACCAGGTGGCAGCCCGCATGATTCAGGAGTCAGCCCCCGATCTGCCCCCTATGAGCTTGCTGTCTAGCAAGGATTCTTTGCAATCGTTTCGGAATGACTCTGGGCCCTTTTCGCAAGTGTGGGATTTACTTGGTCTATTACCGCGGAATAAAGTAACCGTGGATCGCCTAATCGAGAAATTCCTGACCGAGATCAACTGGGTTATCGACACAGTTCACCCCGAAACCTTCAGATCTCAATTTGCGGAGTTCTGGGGCCAAAAATTTGGATTCGACGAAATTGCTGGAGTAGATCTTCGCTGGCTCGCTCTTTTGTTTATTATTCTCGCTTTTAGCGTGCTCTTGGACAGCCCTACTACTTCTTCGCCCGAAAAGCGGAAAGAATGCGAAGAAGCCTCTCTTCGTTTCTACTGGGCTGCTAGGAGAGCGATCGTTATCTCACCCTCCTTTCACGGCGAGAGCTTAGATCTTGTCAGGGCAGGGTTGATGGTTACGCGATATCTGTTATACACCAGACAAGTCGCAGAGAGCTGGCTCACCATCAGCTTTGCCATGCGCATGGCCCAAGCACAAGGCATGCATATAGACGGAGAAAAATGGGGGCTATCGAGAAAAGCCACTGAAACTAGAAGACGCCTTTGGAGCAATCTGTACTTGCTTGACAAGACTATTGCCCTCGCTCTCGGCAGACCATACGCGATCTCGGATCATATGTGTCTCATCAAAGCACCTGATAATATATGGCTGGATGGGATGTCTGATGAAGAATCCTCTCTTGCTACCTCTCGTCCATTGAGCTATCCTACGATGAGCACAGTGACACTCCTCGGCAGTGGCTTAGGTAAAATTGCCGGTGAAATCCAAGACCGATGCTTTGGTTTATATTCTGCATCGTACGATACGGTGATTGAGATGGACAACAAGCTTGTTGCATGGAAAGAGCAACTCCCGTCCTACTTTGCCGTGGAAGACCCCGAGCTTTCACTGGATGAGTCACATACATTTCTACCTTGGCATCGCCTCTATCTGCACTCTGCTTTCCACTTTGCCAGAATCACTCTGCACCGACCTTATCTTCTGCGCGAGTCCATGACCAATCGCTTCAGCCTTAGTCACGAGGCATGCATCTCCTCGGCATCTTCCGATCTGAAGATCCGGTTGCAGTCTTTGAACTACGGAACATCAGAAAATATGAGATGGACACTAGGCACCCACAATATGTTCAACAGTGCCTTCATCCTGGGCATTATCGCCGTGCGGCGGCCTATTGCTCCTCAAACTGCGGCAATCTTGAACGATCTTGAGGAATATTGCGAAAGGTTACGGAAGGATGTTTGGCTAAACGAGTTTGGTCTTGCGGAGGTCAAAGTGGTAGAGTTGTGTATAATCCGTACCACTGGACTCGCCAAGGCCACCGACCAGCCGGGTGACCAGGCCTCAATGAGTCCACCTGAAGTATTGCCAGACTTTATGGCACAGGAACGCGAAAGGAATCCAATGATGTCGACGCCCATGAACATTGAGTCCATTGCAGCGGGCGCCTCGGCCGATCAACCACCTGGTTCTTCGCCTGATATGATGTGGCCTGCAGTCTGGGAAGACCAGAACTTTGCATTTCCACAGGCTGCTGATCTTGAAACCTGGGAGCAAATGATCTCCGAAATTGCATATCACGCTTAGCATATGGAATTTCTTGGGGTCATTTTCGTTGTACAAGCATTTGTCGATATATATTCTTGGTTTTTATGATTGATGTAGCCTCTCAGAAATTATATGACTTGATCTCAATATTCGGTAGTATAAAACACATTCACAGGATATAGCGGAAATCCGGATGGAAATCCCCGCCTTTCTTCTCGTATGATCCCGAGCTGACAATGCGCTCCCTCTCCTCCGGTGACAATTGGTCTCGCTTCTTATTGTGATATCGGAGCAAAGCCCACATGCTAGCATTGCCACAGAATGCAAGACATATAGCAGCAAGGGAAACAGAATGACCGACCACATATCGTCCATTTATCGATGACTTGTAGATTTGACCAGCCTTGAGTTATGTTAGCTTGAGGTCAATGCCACAAAACGAGCACGCTAATATGATATTCCACTTACAATCAAACCGGCGCAATTTCCGATAGTCTGCTGTAGGCCTACTCCCATGGCACGCTTGTAATAGCCAGAATGGCTGTTGGCGTTCCAACTAACCCCAAGTCCAACTACAGCATAGATTCTAGAAGAAAGGTTAGTAATTGCTCAACGGATACTCCAACGGAAAATACATACCCAGTAACACACACATATGTCGCAAAATAGAGTACACCTCGTTTATGAACATCCACTCCCAGCAGCATGGCATAGCCAACAGCCGTCACCAGACACAGGGGGACCATGAAGATAGCTCGCATGCGCACTCGGTCGGAGAGATTTGCAATGACCAGGTAAAACGCGGAGGCCCAGATATACACAGGCACCGTGAGCAGTTGGGTCTTGACCGAATCAAACCCAAACCCTCGGATGATAGTAGGCAAAAAGGTACTGAACCCGAAGGAGCAGATATTGACACAGATTTGGTTGAACGAGGTGAGCCAGCTCTTGGGGTCTTTCAGTGTCTTCCAAACTTCCTTGATATCAAACTCTTCAGTATCAGCATACCGTGCTGACTGTTGCATGCGCATGCGCATCAGCTCTTTCTCTTCTTCGTTCAAAAAGTAGGCAGTTTCGTAGTTGTTTGGAAGGAGGAAGAACGTGGCAATGCTAATGACCGCGCTCATGATGCCCTCCACAATGAAAAGCCACCTCCAACCTTCAAGGCCGCATGCGCCATCTAGGCGAATCAGTCCAAAGGCGAGTCTAATGTTCATGTTAGCCATTGTTGTTCGGATTGGTTTGATAGAATAGGGAGAATCGCGCATACAATCCACCAAAGCCTCCACTCAGAGCAGCAGACACAAACAGATACGAAATTCTCTGTGCTTGTTCCTCGCGCTTGTAAAAGGTAGTCAAGAGGACGGTCAAGCAACTGCACAATAATTAGCTTCCACCCAAAGCAGATTTTTATCAAGGCAATCGATAGTCTCACGGGAATAGACCACTCTCAAAGACACCGAGGAAAAGTCTGGTGATATAAAGCCCGGCGACATTCTTGATAAATCCAGCAGACAATATGGATGCACTAAAGCCAAGGATCAATGCAGAAATGAGTCTGTTTGGGCGTAATTTCTTGAGGAGCATAGAGAACGGGATCTCAAAGAAGACGTAAGTCGCGTAGAACAAAGACACGGCATCTGGGTATTGTTAGATATAGCTTGGAATATTGGACGAAGGTAATCTCACTTCCTAGTTCATTTCCGACTAAACCAAGATCTTCCTGTAAGAGCTAAGTC